GCCGACATTTTCTCGTCAAGCGACGCTGATATAGGGAAGACGGGATTGGTTTGGCACAAAATAAATACAGGGAATGAATTACCGATCCGTCAGCGACCGAGAAGGCCACCGATGGCACGTGAACAAGAGGTGGATGCCATGATTCAGGGAATGGTAAGGAATGGCATTATAGAGCCCTCATCTAGTCCATGGTGTTCACCTGTGGTCCTTGTAAAGAAGGATGGCAGCATGTGTTTCTGTGTGGACTATCGTCGACTGAACAACGTTACGAAGAAGGACAGCTATCCACTGCCAAGGATCGATGCCACATTGGATACGCTGACAGGAATGAAGTGGTTCACTACCCTGGACCTAAAAAGTGCTACTGGCAGGTGGAAATAGACCCTAGAGACAAATAGAAGACTGCATTTTCCACAGGGTTTGTGGCAATTCAAGGTCATGCCCTTTGGGCTGTGCAATGCCCCAGCTACTTTCGAAAGACTTATGGAGCTAGTACTCACTGGATTGAGTGGGGATGCCTGTCTTGTCTATTTGAATGATATAATTATCGTGGGCTGCACATTTGAGGATCATCTTCAAAACCTGGAACAAGTGTTATTGAAAATACGAGGAGCTAATCTCAAATTGAGCCCGAAAAAATGCGCCTTCTTTAGACGGCAACTTAAATTCTTGGGACATGTTGTCTCGGAAAAGGGGGTGCAGACAGACCCGGATAAAATCGTCGCCGTAAAAGATTGGCCAGTTCCAAACGACAAAACAGGAGTTAGAGCTTACTTGGGCTTATGCTTCTACTATCGTCGGTTTGTGAAGGATTTTGTTGATATTGCCAAACCACTGCATAAACTTACTGAAGAGAAGACACGATTCTGCTGGGACGAGGGTTGTGATATTGCATTCCAGGAATTAAAGGAGCGTCTGTGCAACACGCCAATTTTGGGCTATCCTGACACTGGAAATGACTTTGTAGTTGACACAGATGCGAGTAACACGGGAATCGGCGGAGTTTTGTCTCAACGAAAAGGAGATCAAGAATCGGTTATAGCCTACTTCAGCAAAGTCTTATCCAAACCGGAAAGAAATTACTGCGTGACGAGAAGGGAATTACTTGCCGTAGTTAAAACCTTGCAACATTTTAGCAACTACTTGCTTGGACGAAGATTCCGCTTGCGTACAGACCATGCTGTACGCAAGCTGTAACTGTGGCTTTTGCATTTCAAGAATCCAGAAGGACAAGTAGCAAGGTGGATAGAGCTGCTACAGGAGTATGACTTCGTGATTAAACATCGTAAAGGGAAAATGCATGGTAATGCTGACGCCTTGTCGAGAAGGCCTTGTGTGGATGACTGTATGCACTGTGTCAGACAAGAAACTAAAGAAATTGTTCCTGTGCAAATGCTGAAAATGGAGATCGGTAACGAGTGGAAGGAAACTTTACAACAGGCTCAGGAAAAGGATGCACACATTAAGCCGATCCTCGAATGGTTGAAGGCTGATGCTCCTAGGCCTAACTGGAGCGATGTTGCAGCTATGAGTCCAGTTACAAAGAGCTACTGGGCACAATGGGACAGCTTGACCATACAGGACAGGATATTGTGCCATAAGTGGGAAAATACCAGAGGGGACAGCTACCATCTGCAAATGGTTGTTCCCAAAGGAAAAGTTCCTGAGGTCCTAAAACTGTACCACGACAACTGCTCTGGAGGCCATATGGGGGTGAAGAGAACCTTACTGGAAATCCGCGAGAGATTTTATTGGATCCACTGTCGTGATGATGTGGAAGAATGGTGCCGCAGATGTACCAGTTGCGTGGCCGTGAAGGGACCTCAAACTTGCAGTAGAGGTGCATTAAGGGTGTACAATGTTGGAGCCCCATGGGAACGAATAGCGTTAGATGTTGCGGGACCATTTCCCGAAAGTGAAAATAGAAACCGGTACTTCATGGTTGTCATGGACTACTTTACTAAATGGCCAGAGGTTTTCGCCATTCCCAACCAAGAAGCTGTAACTGTGGCCGATAAATTAGTCCACAAAGTATTCTGTCGGTTTGGAGAACCCTTAGAGATTCACAGTGATCAAGGTAGGAATTTCGAGTCCCAAATATTTCGGGAGACATGCCGTGTGATGGGTACCCACAAAACCAGAACCACCTCGTATCATCCACAATCCGACGGGATGGTGGAACGATTTAATCAGACGTTGGAAAGGTACCTGGCAAAAGTCATAGAGACTCAGCAACGAGACTGGGACAAACACATTCAACCATTTTTGTTGGCATACTGAAGCGCGGTCCATGAAAATACGTCTGTGATGCCAGCCTTTGCAAACTTTGGAAGAGAACTACGATTGCCCGCAGATTTAATTACTGGTACCCCGCCTGATAGTCCACGTAGCATGACTGACTATGCGGATGATTTACGTCATAAGATGAATGACGTATATGACCACATCCGACAGTCAGGTCAACAAATGTCTGAAAAGATGAAGACCCGATATGACCGCAAGGTGAACAATCAAGGCTTCAAAGAGGGTTCCCTAGTGTGGTTACATAACCCTGCGCACAGCAAGAGGAAGTCCCCTAAATTACAGCCGAAGTGGGACGGGCCATATCATGTCATGACTAGAATTAACGATGTCACCTACCGAATACAGAAGAGGTCGAGAACTGCACCTAAGATTGTTCATGTGGATCGTTTGGCGCGGTACTATGGATCTAATGATGCTTGGGATGAACATGCCTTGAGGAGGGCAGTGTCGCGCCAGCTCTAAAAAAAGACTAGCACCATGATGCGGAGAGTGGCGAAACAAAAAAGAATGTTTTTTAAAAAGAAAAAAAAAGAACAGTTTGAAAAATTAGGACGTTCGAGAAAATTTGTTTTTTTCTTTTAACGAGTTATATAACGTTTCTGTTTTTTAGTGTATCTAAGTAAAAGTGTCAGTTTCGGTAAACTGTGTTCTGAATTTATATCCCGAGCCCCATAGCTCGTAACAATACCAAAATAGACAGAGAAGCTGTAACTGATAAGTATGGGCTAATCTTATTAAAATTTCAGCAAGAAATAGAGAGGGCATTATTAATAATTTTAATAAATTTTTAGCACATTACAGATATTGATATGCTGGCATAAAAAACAATACATAAATTTTTCCTAAAAATTTTATTTTTGAAAATCTAATAACAAAAAAGTGTTATTTTTATTACAATCAAATTTAATAGTTAGGTTGATATAGAAAGTTTCCTAGTTTCCTGTGTAGTGCTACGGTGTATACATACTATGGTGTATATATGTATATATATTTATGATCTTTTATAATTTGCTTTTTTTTTCCATTATTATGTATCACATTTTTATTATTGTATGGTGTGTCGTGTGATCTCTTCCTTTTTCTATCCTGATTCACCTTTTCTGGGGTGTAACGGTTGAAGCAGTCTTATTGGTCCAGCACAGTGTCATGTGCAAGTGACCTATTTCTGGAATGCAGAATCTATAAAAGGAGGAACTTTTGGATAAAGTGGGACCTTTTTCATGTGGTCTTCTCCCCTTCTGGATAGTGCAGAAAATAGAACAGGTGAGGAACGAGTTAAGAAGACGTTTATGAACACCACAGAGAAAGGAAACATTTTCATGAAATAAGACAATCGGTTTCCGTCAGACTGGACACATGAGGTATCAGGAAGAATCAAACCTCAAATGAATAGATTTTAAAAGTCTTCATCAAGACAATTAGTGTTTGGGGCTATTGATTTTTTCCCGTTTTTGTATGGGTGCTCTTGTCACGTTAGCGACCAATGGGTTATTGTAGTCTCTCGAGAATCACCACATGGAATAACTGTGACGAGAAGAAAGAATGTATGTATAAACTTAATGTATATAGTTGTAAGGCTTGTATGCAAATTAATCATGTCGCAAATTAAATTGTGTCAATTGTACCAAGAAGGCTGCGTGACAAATGTGTACTGTAATCCCACCTGGTGTGATAACGGAATAAATACCCTTTGTTTTTGTTTACATGCATGTAGTGTCGGTCAATTATTGAGTCCTTATCACCTTACGATCTTCAGACACTCCAGCAGAATTCGAACTACTGGATTTATTTACACTTGTATGTCATTATTATCTACGGATATTAGAATAATATCAGTTTCTACAATATTATGGTTAAATATCATAATACAGTAGAGCCTCGAAAACTCGGCCTAATGTGGACCGAAGGGTGGCCGAGTTTGTGTAAATGCCGGGTTATTGGGAATGGGGTTAAAAAAGAATAAGTATGCGTGTTTCCTCAGAAAATATTGTACTGTACTTGTATGTATTGTTTGCTTGAGAATACAACATAGAATAAACTGCCCAAATACCCTTAAACAAAGGAAAAGTACATACTTTATAAAGGCATAGAGCCTTTATTACATGAAAATGAAAATTAATGAACACTGTGTACAGTAATTTACCTGATAAGACAGACCTCAGAAAAGCATAAAGCTGTCTACAATGAAAATTATCTAGCCAACTCCCAAGTCCTTAGCCACTGCACTGATACTTTCTCCGTTATCCAGTCTCTTTAATGCCCGCAACTTTTGCTCCATAGACATGTTCACTTGTTTTCTTTTAACGGAAGATGCCATCGCAGAGTACTGTTGTCACGATGGAATCGTTTAGATGTATGGTTCCCGCGCTTTTCCTCTTTTTCAAACAAGCAACTGTTGTCGCCATAGAAATACGGATCGAGAAACGACTGTTAGTTTTGAAAACAGAATAGATGATTGGCCGTCGATCATCGGATGATCGCACGGACCTCCAATAGGACTACAAAGCGCTCATTGGTCAATCAGCGCTATCTTCATTCCATATAAAAAGATTAAGTTTAAACGGGAAAGTTAAGTTCGCCTAAGTTCGTTTTTGCCCTGCTAAGGTGTGGCCGAGTTATCTGGAGTGCCGAGTTATCAAGTGCCAAGTTTTTGAGGCTCTACTGTATTAAAATTAATCACGTTTTGAAATGCTTACTTTTTAGGAATAACCAAATTTTTACTGACTGTCATATTTGATATTACAGACAATATTTTCATCAATGCATTAATTCCACCCAAACTGTAGCACACAATCTTATCATCAGTAGAACATTTTCCAATCAATCTCTCTAATTCTCCAAGAGATCTCTCTAGATTGGATGCTATTGTTGTATCCCAAGGACCTTTTCCTTGATTATTGATTAGTTTATTAATATCTTTAATTATTTTCTGCATCCTATAAAAACAAATTTTGTTATAATCAACGATTATTTACTTAAAACAATACACAACTAAAAAATTTACTTACTTTTGCTTATGAATAGAATTAGCCGATACTGGTCTGTTTGCTGATGATGCTTCATATTCTAAACCTCTGATCAGAACAATAAAATTATTTAATTTATAAATTATAAAATTTAAAATTATAAACAATTTGTATAGAAAAACTTATCTCAGTCCGTTCTAAAATTAAAATGATAATATATCATAAAAATTGTAAAATACAGTGGATTCCAGTTAATTGGGATACATTGGAACTATAATACTTTGTTCCAATTAAGCAGCTGTCTCATCTCAATTATACAAAGTTTATGAAAAAAAATAAAAGACAAACTCATTTAATTGCTTCAACTGTTTCAAGGATGTAGTTTACTGGTTTTCTGTAATATATCATCTTTAAATTTTTTGATTCTCATGTCAATTGGCTGCACCAAGGATGTTGTGTTGAGAGACAAACTCCATGCAGATGTTTTTAAAACAATTGAAATGACAATGTGCCATAAAGTTGATAAGAAGTAACAGAACTTGTCTTCTGATGTAGTTCCATATCCCAATTCATTAACCATTCTTTAAAATTTTCAGAAATCATCCATACATTCTTATTAGTATAATACAGATTTGTTAAACCATTTTATTCTGAGCTCCTTAAGACTTAGTGTTTTTCCCCAATAACTACAAGCTTCCATTGCTTTCTGTGCATTTGAACTGTGGAACACATTAACATGATCCATTCTTTTCCTTTAATTAATTAAGAAGATTAGACTTCTGAAGTAATTTTGTATGAGTGCACAATAGACCTTTCAGGTCAAGGTGAAGTACAATAAATAATAATAAACAACAAGACAGCTGAGTCTGTAATTTGTGTGCACAAGTTTTTATGTATTATGTTTCTTTATTTGAGTTAAGTCAATACAAGTTGCCTGAAGACTAAAATCTTCCAATCTGATGTAATAATTTATATAGTTCTGTGCATAATCTGATGCTTCCTACAAGTGTCATCAGTAAGTGTTGGCTTTTAAAATATGTTTTCTGTAGCAGTTTATATTTAAGACCTAGTTTTGTATGTCAATCATGAGTCCTGTCTCTCCAAAGAGGCTCCATGAACCCAGTTTGATGTTCTCATTTTATACTATCCGTTATAACACTTTTTTAAATAATACTTTAAACTTTTTCTGATTCAAGTGAATTCAATTCAAATCAAGACAGATTTTTAGGTAAAGAAAAAACATCTGTAAATTAACTTTATTGGTAACATGAGATTTCTGAATATCTTAATTAGAAATACCTGTTAGTCATTCGTTGTCTTAATTTCTTGCACCTTTTCTTCAATGCTTTTTGTCTCTCTTTATCCAAAGCAATATTTGGATCAAGTTTATCTGCGGGAGCATCCACTATATGTTTAAGATTATACGATTCCTAAAATCATGAATAAAAGTTAGCACAAAAAATAATACAAAAAGTAAAAGAATTTATAAAACAATAAAGCTTTAAAAATAATTTCAACAAAGTGAATATATAAAATTATTTAAGAAAGTATGCCATTCTTAATTGCTTAAAAGAATAAATGCTAAGTAGTGTAATCACTAATCAGCAATGACCATAATGATGGGCATGCCAGGCCCTTATAGGATTTCCCGAAGCCCATTTTTTACATTACATTACATTAAATTGAAAAAGAGGGAATCCTCCAGGCAACACTCAGAGGTACAACCTGGAGGTGGTAAAGAACGGAAGGAAGGAAGAGACATGGGAAGAGTAGGGGATGAGCGTGGGGCAGGGTAAAGTTGAGAGCCCATTTTTTACAGTAAATTTGTTTCCTTGGGGAGACATATCACCTTGGTGTGTGAAGGAGGGCACATGAAAAATCTTCAAAATAAAAAGATTGGAGGGTCAGATTCAGTTGCATCATTGGGATAGGGGCAGTTGGGGAAATGTGATTAGCAGAGGGACTGAGGGGTTTGGAAGTTTTATCAGGGCCCCATCAGTTCATGAGTAATTTCATCTTCCCAACTTACAGTAGTTACAATTTTGAGTACCACCCCACTCTAGATTTTTCCTCTAAATTTCTCTAAATTAATTAAGCATTAATTTCAAATTATTAAATTTACTACAAAATGGTGTTTAAAACTTCTAGTGACAAATTTTGTTAATTAATTATAAAAAAATAATCTTATAATTTCAGCAACTTTTTGGTTATTTCTGATTACTGTTCTTATTGCATATTTTTTTTTTTACAAAACAAAACTATTTATCAATTATTAAAAAACACCAGGTATTATAAATATATGGCAATTATTTTAACAAATACTTGAGTTAAACAAACAAAGTCTCCAGTCTCAAAAATGTCTACTAAGCCCAAGTTTTATTTTATGTATTGTGAATATCAGCATTATTTTTTCTTTAAATGTTCCAATGTTTCAGAAAACCAGAAATGTAATTAAAAAGAAAACACACTAATATCCCATTTGTACTGAGCATTTCGATCTAGATTGTGACCAAGGTCGGCCACTAAGCCGTGGTGCAACATCTCTCGACTGTTTCAATCTTGACTAAAATGAGGTTCAATTGTGATCGACTCAAGAGAGTTCTTGAAACTAGATCCAGTCATAACAGAGATCCCACAATCCCAAGCGCACGAGAAAATACAAGATGGTTGCGGGAACACATGTTGGACTATCAACAGAGAAATAAAAAAGACAACTGAAGAGACGATGACATCTGTCTATTATTAGATATATGGCAAGAAAAAGTATTTATTTCTAACCAAAACTTCCATTTTGTTTGTTGGTGTTCATGACTAACCACATAGTTATGTCAGTTTTATCATTGTATCTAATAGCTGGGTTGTTCTCAAGCGGACTGCCTGTGCAAACAGCACGACATTCAACAGTCACAATCGAGATTGCAGGTAAATCGAGATCGAAGTGAGTCATGGATTGTGTGAAAATGGGGTATAACCTTATGTTATTTCCCAGCAGGATGGAAAAATTAACACAAATGTGAGAAAATTAAGATAAAACAAATGTATAAAAACCACAACAGTAAACTGGAACAATATATATAGACTCTCACCTAAACATCAAATTTCCAGCAAAACACCCAAATTCAACATTCGAACGTTTTCAGCCACTCCTTAATCGGCCTTCATCAGGAAAAATCAAAAAAAATAACTCTTCTATTTATAGAATGTTGCTGCATTGTACACGTAATTTAAAAATAATTTTTAAATCAGTTCGAACAATAGCTGTGATGTATATTAAACAATGTATTATCCTTTAAGAATCTAAATAATACTTCCATGCATTTGGTACAGGAATGTATTCTGTGATGACGCATGCTGCTCTTATGTCAGCCCTGTAGATTTCTGCGGCCTCTAATGTTCTTATGTGTTGTCTGTAGAATATCCTGTGTATTAGGGTAGCCTCTTCCCATAAGAGGGAATTCCCAGCTTGGTGGCATATTGAGCCAGGGCCGTATCAATGTTTCCTTTTGCCACATCATACTTGTGATCTGATAACCAGGCTTGTAATGATCTGTATGTGGAACCAATGTACATTAATGTTCTGTTGAACCTGTCATCCTGTAGTGGGATGCAGTAAACTCCAGATGCTCTTGTGTCCTCAGTGTCATCCTTAATGTTAGACAAAAGGCAGAACATGGTGGGTTTTCTTTTGTACGCTATGCATATGTTTAAATCCTTGGCCATTATCCTGTATATATGATGGAGGGATGGCTCGTAACTTAGGACTACCCATTTCTCTTCTGTGTTGTTAACATTAGTATTAGTGTTGATTGACCTGGCCTGATGTGTGGACGTTATATTGTTGATAAATGAGTGGCTGTACCCATGCTTGGATGTGATATGTTTCAGTTGTTCTAGCTCATTGTTAGTATCTGAGAGCTGCATACAATGTGAGTGGGCTCTAGCCACAAGTGCGCAGAACGCAGATGCCTTATATGACCAAGGGTCATCAGAGTTGGCCAGTATGAATAGGGGGATGAAAGTTAGTTTGCAGCACACTGTGGTGTTGAACTTATTATTTGCTACATGAATCTTGATGTCCAAGAAATTAACATCAGTGTGGCTTTCTTTATCTAATTTTAGTGTTAATCTGCAGTTATTATTGAACACTTTTAACACATCCTCAACATCTGGTCTATTTCTCCATATAATCAGGATGTCCTCAACATATCAGGTATAAATGAGGATATTATGTTTGAAGTTTACTAAGGACCATTCCTCCACTTGTCGCACAACCAGTTCATAAAGTTCACCTGAAATGGGGCTACCCATAGGTGCTCCTCTTTTTTGTTTGTAGGTACACTCATCAAAGTAAAAACATGAGAAATAGCACAACAGGTATGATAGGTCTAATATCTGAGAGTGGAAAGATTGAGCATCAGGAGTAGTGCTTAGAAAAAAATCTCTTAAAGTGCAAAAACATAGTTTTAAATGAATAGATGGAAATATTGATACAAAATCAAACACAGTGAGATATTCAATCCCACTTAAATTAATAGCAGCAAGTTTGAATAGAAGTGCACCTGAATCGGAGATCATATATGTATTTGATTGAAGGTGATGCTTTAACACATGATGGATCTTATCTTTCAGCAAATACGTTGGGGATCTGGCTTTCTTGATCACAGGATGCAAGTGTTGACCTGGTTTGTGTGTTTTTGCAAAGGCAAACAGGTGGGGTGTCAGGAAAGCTGACTATTGGCCTTGGTCATATAAGGTGTCTATGTTCCACACACTTGTGGCTAGAGCCCACTCACATTGTATGCAGCTCTCAGATACTGTACTAACAATGAGCTAGAACAACTGAAACATCACATCCAAGCATGGGTACAGCCACTCATTTATCAACAATATAACGTCCACACATCAGGCCAGGTCAATCAACACTAATACTAACGTTAACAACACAGAAGAGAAATGGGTAGTCCTAAGTTACAAGCCATCCCTCCATCATATATACAGGATAATGGCCAAGGATTTAAACATATGCATAGCATACAAAAGAAAACCCACCATATTCTGCCTTTTGTCTAACATTAAGGATGACACTGAGGACACAAGAGCATCTGGAGTTTACTGCATCCCACTACAGGATGACAGGTTCAACAGAACATTAATGTACATTGGTTCCACATACAGATCATTACAAGCCTGGTTACCAGATCACAAGTATGATGTGGCAAAAGGAAACATTGATACAGCCCTGGCTCAATATGCCACCAAGCTGGGAATTCCCTCTTATGGGAAGAGGCTACCCTAATACACAGGATATTCTACAGACAACACATAAGAACATTAGAGGCCGCAGAAATCTACAGGGCTGACATAAGAGCAGCATGCGTCATCACATAATACATTCCTGTACCAAATGCATGGAAGTATTATTTAGATTCTTAAAGGATAATACATTGTTTAATATACATCACAGCTATTGTTCGAACTGATTTAAAAATTATTTTTAAATTACGTGTACAATGCAGCAACATTCTATAAATAGAAGAGTTATTTTTTTTGATTTTTCCTGAT